AGATAGAAACACCTGTAAAGTTTGGTTGTTAGCTACTGGCTTGGTTAAATTGAAACACCTGGAAAGTTTGGTTGTTAGCTACTGGCTTGGTTAGATAGAAACACCTGGAAGTTTGGTTGTTAGCTACTGGCTTGGTTAGATAGAAACACCTGTAAAGTTTGGTTGTAAGCTACTGGCTTGGTTAAATTGAAACACCTGGAAAGTTTGGTTGTTAGCTACTGGCTTGGTTAGATAGAAACACCTGGAAAGTTTGGTTGTTAGCTACTGGCTTCTTTATCTACAACTAAATAAGTCCATTGCACCTTTAAAAGTAAGCTATAACTTAAATGTTTGTTTGGTTTGTTTTTAATTTCGTCCAAAGTTACTCGAGGTCTATCTACGCTAGCCGTCCCTAAGTTAGCAATGATATACTATAGGGAGGGCAGCTAGTCAACCAGCTCTGTGTGGATCGAACCCAAATTCTAGTGTTATAAGAGGTTTACGCTTAAACTACTGGGGAAAACACCTTTTACACTAAGGCCTAATTTATAGGGTTTATTCCCCAATGCTACATAGCTTTTTAGGCGTTCAATAAACAAAATTTTTTTTTTTCACGTTTATAAAATTTGACAATTAGTTAGACATCTATGCTTTTACCAAGTGTATTACTTATTTTTTTCCAACCGAAGCTGAAGTAATTTCTAATTAATTTGTTTGTTTTATTTTTAATTTCGCGCAAAGCTACACGAGGGCTATCTGCGCTAGCCATCCCTAATTTAGCAGTGTAAGACTAGAGAGAAGGCAGTTAATCATCACCACCCACGCCCAACTCTTGGGCTACTATTTTACCAACGAATAGTGGGATTGACCGTAACATTATAACGCCCCCCACGGCTGAAAGGGCGAGCATGTTTGGTGTGATGGGGATTCGAACCCGCGACTCTCAGATTGCGAGTCGAGCGTCCTAACCACCTGGACCAATGTAGAAATACAAATCTGAAGTTATATACTTCAAAACTTAATATAATCAAATATTTTCGTAATTTTCAAGTACTTTTATTGTAGTGTGTGCTGCCCTCACGTGGCTGTGCTCGAGAAACTCTTGGCAATATATTACATGAAGTTTCGCTAGTTTTCGAAAAGTTTACTTTAGAGGGGGAAAACATCTAGAAAGTTTGAGTTTCGAGCAAAGCTACACGAGTACTATCTGAGCTAGCCGTCACTAATTTAGCAGTGGAAAGGCAGCTAGTTATCACCACCCACCGCCAACTCTTGGCTTTTACCAACGAATAGTGAGATTGACCGTCACATTATAACTGAAAAGGTGATCATGTTTGGTGGGACGGAGATTCGAACCAGCGACCCTCAGATTGCGAGTCAAGCGCCCCCTGCCCATGCCGGGCCGCATCTAGAACGTCTTTGACATTATATTAGATTTCCTATATAATTTAAAACTCTAGAAATGTTGAAACATTATTTGATGAGTCAACATTCATCACTGAACTAATCACAAACGTTGATTGGATAAGTAATGTAATCTCGTTCTCAGATCGCACGAGTGTTGTGGTGTTTGTCTTACTCCTATCATTTAAAGCTGAGATTCTGCTGATAAATAATAAAAAAAAATAAAACATTTTGTGTGCGAAACTTATTAACTATTTATCTTATTCATCACCATCAGTTAAACATTCTGCTGTTAATTGACAGCGGTATTAGTAGTAAATATTGCGTCCTTAATCAGAGCGCCAAAAACAAGGTTATTTAACGTATTCATTTTGAGCGTTCTGTTTAAGAGTTTAATTAAAATGCTTACGTGTTTGTTCTAGCTTCAAAACATAAACGGTTTTTATGAAAAATAAATGTAATACAGAATCAATATTTAATTACACCTAAATTAAATTCTGTAATTAAATTCTGCATGTTAGAACAAGGGTTAAGCGACGAAGACGTTAGTTGACTTTTGGCTTATTTAAACATATATACTTGTGAATTCATATAACATATTTTACACGGCTGTATTAATCGTATTTTTCTTTATTGACTACATTAGTTTAATGAAATTTTTGCGCTTTGGATATTCATTTCACCTACGCTCATATGTTCTCGAAAGACCTTTGAAGTTGTAGTTGTAAACGCATCATTGCTTCTTTGAAATGCGTTTGAAATGCTTAATTCTAATCCACTTGCGTAACGGATCCGAAATAGTTATATAATAATTTGTTCAAAGTACGCGCAGATGTCAAGTGGTCAAATTGGCTTGAAACGTATCCATGTCTGTGTGCGTGCAGTTGTCAAGGAAACAAATTGGTTTCTAACATATTCGGTTGTCAATAGTCAGTTAAACGATGAGAGGGTTTGTTTGTTTGTTGTTTTTTTTTGGCCCATTTCGTCCTTTTGAAAATTCTAATTATGTCATTCAGTCATTCAAATTCTATGGTGCATGTAGAATGCTAGATTATTATCGTTATTATATATTTTTTTCCTATCCCGGAAACGTGCACGAACTCTGTCAATCTATCAGATCTGTAATTTCGTTTACAGTGTTTTGTTTGTTTGTTGGATTTATAGGGCTATCATCTGCGCTAACCGTCCTTAACGTAAAAGTGATGTAAGGAAAGTGGCCAGTCAGCACCACCCACAGCCAACTGTTAGATTATTCTAATCGAATATTTGAGATTGACTGTCACGTTATAACACCCCGATGGCTGAAAGAACGTGTTCGGTGAAGGGATTCGAACCCGCGGTCCGTGATTGTATGCAGATCATGGCAGGCTTCAAACGAAATGTATTTTATGTAAGAAACAATACACTCTGGATTGAAGACGACTAGTAAAACGATTTATTCGAATATATATATAAACAGGACCAATAACTAAAAATCCCAACTCCCAAGGAACACAACAAATCTTTCTTCATGATCATTTATGTGATCACTAAACCGATCTAATATTACAGTCGTTCATTGGTCACATTTGAAATATGTTCAGAGGGGAAAAAAAAAGTTGCTTGAAATACACCAGTTTCTTTATTTTAGAGCAATACTGCACAAACTACTAGTAGCTCTGTGCCAGACTCAGGGATCCAACCCCGAACTTTAGCCTTATAAGCCCTAAAGCTTACCTGCTTAGCCACCAGGGAGCTGCAATACGACGGAATGTACATCCCTAGAGCCTTTATTCGTATATACGTTTAAACGATCTGATTATCACCAAATACATAAACAGTTTTTTTAGGTGATGTACAGGACTTTAGTGCTAAGTTTTCTTTAGGTATATGTAGCATTAACTATTTGGGGCTACTCTTGTTTTGGTCAAATAACGACATTTGACTGTCAACTCTTATAGCGCTTTTACGGCTCCAAAAGGCAGAGCACGATTTTGCAACCAACGGAGCTCAAACCAAGGATTCGCGGACTCACCACAGTCCGGCACGCTAATCACGAGGCTATGTACCATAAAAACAAATAAGCTATCGTATCTTAGCTGTTTTGATTTTACTTCTTCGGGGCATCCAAGCTGTCGTCAGTGTAGTAGCTATCTTAATACAAATCGTTAATTGGCTTCAATGTTGCACGTAAAGTATCAAACATTCCACAATAAATGACCAATGATTTTTAAGCGTTTAACGCTGGTGTTTGGTATTTTAAATCTGAATGCCACTCAATATGTGTGACACGTAAGCTAAAGAGTCATGTCAGAAACTCCTAAGGTTCTGGAAAAATATTACTTTACAATTCCTGACCAGAGGGAGGAAAATGAATGAGCAAAAGCCCGCCGCATAGTGCGGCTACTCGTATTCGAATTGCAGGATTGTCAGAACAGTTATAAAGTTGTCCCCCACATACGAAATTTTGGAGTATGTTCAACCATATATCACGGCTCGAACCGTGGACTTTCCGATATCCAACCCACCACGTAACAAACTAAGCCTCATTCAACTCTAAAACCCACTAGAATGTCGACTCAAACTCGTAATGCTATATTGGTGTTGGCTTAGAAAGTAACCCGAAAGATTTTAGCACGTGACATAATTAAAATATTAAATAATCATCACGTTATAGACGTACCCTATTATAGATTACGACTCAAACTCGCAAAATATTATCCCTCCCTATTACATAACGTGTATAAAACTAGACGGAGACACAACTATGCAAATTATTTCGTTACATTAAACCAATTTATCCAATTAAACAATTCGTATGAGTCAGTCCAAAGCTTTGAGCAGTTCTCTTTTTTTTTTATATCCCCATCCCACCAGACATGCTCGCCTTTTCAACTGTGGGGGCATTATAATGTTACGGTCAATCCCACTATTCGTTGGTAAATATAGTAGCCCAGGAGTTGGCGGAGGGTAGTGACGACTAGCTGCCATCCCTCTAGTCTTAGACTGCTAAATTAGGGACGGCTAGCGCAGATAGCCCTCGTGTAGCTCTGCACGAAATTCATAAAAAACTAACTCTTATATATATATATATATATATGAATACACTTCTTAAGAAAAATAATCTGCAGGTGGCGCTCTCGTTATATGACGTATTAATAGAGCCACAGTTTCATGTTTATATTTGCATGTAACACTATTGTCGAATGGAATAGTTAAATGATGAACTGCATAATTTTATATGTATAGTTTTCGAGCTCGGTTCGTAACTTTCGTTCTGATATCCGTCAAACGGTGGAGTCTCAGTAAGGGGAGGTTCCACTCTTTTTACATGGGCGAAACTCTGTCGCATGTGCTTCCCTCTGGTGGTCGGAATTGTACACTATTATTAGCAACCGTTCCAAATGGCAGCCTACAGAGAAGAAAATTAATTTGTAGTGATAAATCGTTAAAATGTCAATACGAAGAAGCACAGATTATCATTTTTTCCCAAAGATGCAAATAGTGTGAATACATCTAACTGTAAGTTTGTATATAATTACACTCTGTGTAAAATCCTGTATTATTTTTCTCAATTTTCTGCAAATTAAATAGTCTTAATACTAGATAGTTTATTAACCCTAAAATTGTGAGTTGATCGTACAGAGAGTGTCACGTTTTGGTGGAAACTTTGAAGAAGAAGAAGTCCTCTAGACCAGTAGTTCCCAAACTATTTTAGTTTCAGGCTTCTTTGATCTGAATAAAAAAGTTTGAACCCCCCCCCCCCCAACCTATAACTTTAGCATGGCGATTGAAAAACAGTGTCGTAGTAAAAACAATAACATCTCTTTTCAACGTACTGTACCATTTAATTAATTCAACACAATTTTTATTCACTTATTGTTTATTTAGAATTAAAATTAATTCAGCATCTTTGTTTTCGGCCCATTTTTTGGTGGTC